AGTTATCTGTAATACTGCATGTGCGCACACACACACACACACACACAGAGAGAGCGCGCGAGAGAGAAGACACACACACACACACACACACACACACACACGGGGCAGGATTACTGGGGACTGAACTCCAGGGGGTTCTACTGCTGAATTATATCCCCAGCCATTTTTATATTTTATTTTGAGACAGGGTCTTGCTAAATCGCCAAGGTTGACCTTGAACTTGCAATCCTTCTGCCTCAGCTTCAGTCACTAGGATTATGATGTGCACCACTGAACCTGACTTTGCCTAACTTTATTTTTAATGTGGGTAAAATCTGTAGTGATCTATTTTCCATTCCTGATATTGTTAGCTTATTGCTTTCTCTTTTCCCCAACATGATCAGTTATCTAGGACTCTACTGATGCTGTTAAAACTTGAAGAAACAAGTTTTGAATCATATTTAATGGATTCTTCTTTTTCTACATAGTAATATGCTTTGGAGTTCTTCCACATTTAGTACATTTTTCTTAATTGCTGCCATAGTATTTTATATAATGGAGATATGAGGATTTATTTAACCGTGGGCATAATCTCAGGCATTCTTAACTAATTTCATTTCTCTTTTTGAATACTGAAGCAAATATCATGGTATGTCTTTATGTGGGCACGAGAAAGACTAGAACCCCTGAAGTTAAATTTTTGGGGACAGAGAGTACCTTAATTTTACATTTTTAAGCAGATAACTCCCAAACCACTTTCCAATGGCTGTACCAATTTGCACTCCCACCAACAAGATAGAAACATTCCCCACTGATCCAGGTCCTTCCCAATATTTAGCTTTTTTTTTTTTTTTAAACTTCTCATGAATGTGATCATGGTTTGAATCTGCACTTTCCCAATCATCAATGAGTCCCAACATCTTGTGGCTGCTTATGACTTGAGGCCTTTTTCTTCTGAGATGACTTTTAATTTTGTTCTTATTCATTTTTTTCTTTATGTGTTTATGATATGAAACCTGGGTTTCTTACCATGTCCAAAATAGTTGTTTCCCAGTCTGTCTCATATCTTTCACTGTGTTTTATTGTGCCTTTTTTTTCATACAACTGCTTCAAATCTGAATGCGCTAAATAATCACTCTTTTCCTTTACAGCTTGGGGGTTATGTCTGGCTGACAAAGGCCTTCCAAATGGTTCTGAGAGTTCAATTAATACTCATTGGTTAATCAGTTTCTTGTCTTTGGGGGCTAGCTCTACCACTCAGTTCTAGAATCCAACTCCTAGGGAATCATAGTCCCCTTTCTTCTTCCTGCACAAATCATGGGGGAATCTCTCAACCTCCATTACATAGACATCTTTGAAAGCAACAACATAATGATATAAGGGAATCTGGGAACTGTCAAGTCTCAAACTCATTTTTATAGATGAGGACTGTGGAATCTTTACTTGCTGTCAGACACGATAGCCATAAGCCACAAGTAGCTTTTAAATTTTAATTAAAATGACAATGAAAAAAATCACTCTTACTAGTCAAATTTCCAATGCTCCATAGCCACATGTGACTAAAGGCAATTACACTGGATGGTGTGGGTCTAGAACATTTCCATTACTGCAGAACGTTCTAGTGGACAGAGTTGCTCTAGAGTTTAAATACATTCTGTGGAGTGGCAGCAGGAACACAGGCATTACTGAGAGCTGGTTAGAAACAGAGAATCCCAGGTTCCACTCCAGATTTACAGTCAGAATCTGCAATTAAACAAGATCCATATACGTTTCAATGGTGATTAGAGACTGAGAAATTCTAATTCTATGATTGCGTCTCAAGATCATACAGGTGACCAGTGTAGGCCCTTTCCCTAATCAAGCTACCAGTTGACATTACCTTCTGTCTCCTTCCTACTATCTCCCTGCCACACTTGATTTCTCAACATGTTTAATTACACAACTTTTAAATAAATTTTTATAGAGCAACTAGGCCATTGGGGGCCTCAGAAAATTTCCCCTTTTCCACGCCTTCACCCTCTTTCTGGTTTGCAAGTGCTTGCTTGGTAGACTTGTGGTAAAGATCCCAAGCCCCTGTGATGTTGCTCAGTATTTTCCTCAAGGGAACCACTGGTGAGAGGCTACAAATTAAAATAAACCTCGAAACCAGTGGGGCACGAGTCATCAAACTGTATAATATACTTGCCCTTGGTGATACACAGCAGCATTCAGTACTTTCAGTCACAACCCTAGGGTAGAACATGCAAAGCAGGTTACATACTTTCCTTGGTTAGTATCCTGACCATCTGATTAGAGAATGCAAAGTAGCTGTTGGTGATCTCCTAACATAAGCACTGCTAACTGGCTAGCAGGTCACCTAAAGGAAGTGATTTGGAAGTAGGGACCAGGTTGGCCTTAAACTCTGGGAGATCTGCTTTCAGGGCACGACCAAAGTGAAGGGAAGTAATGATGAAGGAGATGTGGCCTAGGCAGTGGTTGATATTGGTGTTGGTGGTGTCCTCAAGCTACAGGTTAGTGACAGCTGTTATATTCCTTGTCTTCAAAGACAGAGCATAGTAGTTAGGATGGGGCTTAGGTTTAAATGCTGCTGCCTACACCCAGGGACTAGGTAGATGGCTAATTCCAGCTTGGTATTCTTTTTTTTTTAAATAAGTTTGGTTTTTTTAATAGCTTTATTTTGTTTATTTATATATGGTGCTGAGGATCGAACCCAGGCCCTTGCATATGCGAGATGAGCACTCTATCGCTGAGCCATAACCCCAGCCCCCCATCTTGGTATTCTTGCCATAGTCAAAGAAAGTTCCTTTATCAGCATCAAGGTGAAGCCTAAGCCAGAACTGTGTCCAGAGTTGGGGAAGATCATCAAGGCCTATAACCCTATGCAAAGCTCTGTCAGTTTATGGATAAACTCCAGCATTTGATCAAAAATCTCCTATTTTTTTTAAATTATGCAGTAGCCACATACATCTATGAAAGTGAGCTTCAGGTACACAAAGACTTCTGAGGGTGCATGCTACTAGCCAGCCCAACTTTCTGAAAGTTGGATATGAACTGCTGCCACAACCTAGGGTTTTGTTGCTGGACACAGTACCACTGGGCTGGGACTGTGTTCCAGATAGTAGAATCCCCAACTAGGCTAGAATCTCCCTATCTAGAAGTGCTCTGAGAGGTAGAGATTGTAGAAGGCTGGTTTCTGCAGACACATTACAAGTCTAACAATACCATTAATTCCTATAAAAGTATTTTTATACGTTCTGATCTTCCCTAAAATATTTTTTGAATTGGATCCAATACAGTAAGAAATATTTATTAGTTATTACTATGCTCAACAGGTTACAAGTGGCTCCACTCATTCCTTGAAATCACAGAACATACCACCATCTTTGAGGAACTTCCAGTGTAGTTGGAAGGATAATCAATCATGGCCATTAAAAAGCTGTAACAATTAAACAAGGCTGAGACTATGAGTGTCTGATGGGCTATAGACACATCTGGTTTATAGGGGGGATCAGAAGAGAAAAAAAAAGAGGCTGCTCTGAGGGTGGAGTGACAGAGGAGAGTGATATGGTTTCAATGTGTCTCCCAAAGTTCATGTACTAGAAACTTGATCCCAATGCAGTGGTTTTGGAAGGTGGGGCCTAATAGGAAGTGTTTGGTTTACAGAAGCATTGCCCTCACACATGCATTAATGCTATTATCTCAGAAGTGAGTTTGTTATAAAAAGAGTTCAGCCCCCTTGGAGTCTTTTTGCACTCTCTTTGCCCTTCTGTTAATACAAGTCTCAGGCAATACTATGAATTCCTATAAAAGTGTTTTTTATATGTTCTGATCTTCCCTAAGGTATTTTATAAATTGGATCAAATACAATAAGAAATATGTATTAGTACCGTGCTCAAGAGGTTATGAGTGGCTTTCCTCCCTTTACATCACACAACATGACCTGTGAGGAACTTGCAGTATGGTTGGAAGGATATTCAATACTGTCCACTAAAAAGTTGTAACAATTATACAAGGCTGAGAATATGAGTGCCTGATGGGCTACAGAAACACATCAAGTTTACAAGGGGGATCAGAAAAGAGAAAAAGCAGAGTCCTTATCATATGCCACGACTTCCAGAATTGTGAGGTTTATTATAAATGACCCAACCTCAGGTATTCTTTTATATCAGCACACAATGGATTAAGAAGGAGAGTAATGAACTGAGTTTCAAATAAATGGCAGGATATTAACCTAGGCTCTGTAAAGGCAGGAGTCCTATTTCAATCCATCCTTTCCCAGCACCTAGAAAGGGTTGGGCACATAGTAGGCCCACACTAAACACAAATGGATAAATGGTAGGGAACAGTATAATTTAAAAAGCAGTTTGTATCTGATGGCTATTTTGGCTTGAAAATAGGTCAAAAAAATGTTGACATTTACATTAGTGATTTTCTCACTCAGGAACCCTAAGTTCCTGAACCCTAAGTTCCTCAACACCTAAGTTCTTTTCACCCCTTCACCTATCCCATGTATTTAAAGCCCGCGGGTGGGGGTTGCTGGTTTGGGTCACTACTGTAACTCCAGAACCTAGAGCCACAGCTGAAGGGTGCTGTGAGTCATCCTTTCCTGCTGTCCACCCACTTGCAGGGACCAGCTGGTGAAGGCCAAACCCATCAAGTGGACTCTTTCAGGGAAGGGATGCACCTTAGTCCCAGACTACCAGGTGCTCGAACGGTATGCAGCTCTTAATAGTCAATACTACCGGATGACCTACTTACAAATTCATTATCGAATGAGTTTCTACCTAACTCTGTCACCTGACTTCTCACCAGTTCTTCCAGGTGGACTCTGCAGCAGCGGGTCGGGCGGAACAACGCATGCGCAAATGGTCGGCCGGCGGGGTGGGGGGAGGGGGAGGACGAAGCCGCTGGGCACGCGCAAGCGCGGGCTTCCCGGCGGGTGTGAGGCGCATGCGCGAGCGGAGCGGCCTTAAGAGCGGCTGCGGCCGGGGCGGCGCAGTCGGCCCGTCAGCCGGCTTCCAAGCTTGTCCGGCTTCCAAGCTTGTCCAGCTTCTTGCGCTGCGGCGATGGCGGCGGAAGAGGAGGAGGTGGACTCCGCCGAAAGCAGCCAGGGGTAAGTAAGTACGGCCGGCAGAAGGGTGCGTGAGTCTCGGGCAGCGCCCAGGACTTGTCCCCAGCTTGGCAACGCCGGGCAGCGGCCTCGTCCGGTCCGATGCGCGTCCGCGCGGCACCCTGACGTGAAACCCCGCGCAGCTCTGCCCGGCGGGCGCGGTCAGCACCAGCCCCCGGGGCGTCCGAAGTGACCCGCTGCGCCTGAGGCCGCCCGCTTTTGTGTAAGTAGCTCAGCGAGGCGGTTGGGTGGCTGCGTTTCTGGACCCGCGATGGAACCTGGCCCTGCCCGGCATGGACAGCGGTGATCGGTCGTCCCCGAGTCACTGTCCGCCTCCTAGCGCCTCTGGGTGTTGAAGTTCGCGCAATGCTGGGTCCAGCTAGGCAAAACGGAAAGTGCCGCGGGCGGATCATCCCTAAAACCGGGGGAAAGGGGGCGGTGCCTCCTCCGCAGACCTGGAGAAACAGCCCCTGAGAAGCGGGGAATTGGGGTGTCCAGGGAAAGGGGTCTGGGAAGTGGGCGTGTGGCTTTGAGTTCTGACTTCAGACTTTATGGAAAGAAGGTTAACCCCTTCTTTCCATAAGTTCAGCAGTGAAAATTCATCTTTCAAATGTAGATCCTTTACTTCCAAGCCCCGCTCTCCTTACTGGAAAAGTGTTTGTGTGTGTGTGTGCGCGTGCGCTTAACTCCAAAAAAGACTCGCACGTGTAGGAAAGTAGAAGGTGAAGGGCACATCTGATGTGAAGGTGTTTTGATAGAGGTAGACTAAGTTTTTTTTTTTTTTATATCCACAACTAATTTCATGCAGTTGAGTGTAGAAGAGGAGTAGTTGGTTGTTGGAAAAGTTTAATTACCATAAAGATTATTGCTTCTCCAGACTAGTACTTTATGTTGGAGAGTAAAGTTGTGTACTTTTCCCTTATAAATTAAATATTTTGACAATAGTTCTACTTTAGATGTGTGGAGGAATTTTTATAAGAAACCTAATCTAACTGATAGATTATGGAGTATCATGAAGACAGGGGTATTTGGAAAGATTGCAGTAGGGGGAAATTGTGAAATATTAGAAACTAGGTTCTTCTCTGAGTTTTGTTTATATAATGAAAGGGTCCACTGTTTTGCTTTATTAATGAACTTCCTTGTTACACAGAGATGAGTTGATGAATGTCATGTGATGGCAAGTAGGAATCCAGCTGGTATCTTGTGTTCCTATCAGGTTTGTCCGAACATTTTTGGCTCTTTTGGAGATTTCTTACAGGTGGACTTTGTAGTCTTGATGTTGTTGTAGGGTTTGAGAGTCCAGAACACAGCTGTTAAAAAAAAAAAAAAAAAAAAAAAGGATGTATGGCTTTGGTGATGGCTGGAGGTCATTGAGGGCACACCATTAAAAATCATTAGCAGCTGATGAGCTATAGTCCCTGAATAGGGGTGGGCCTCCCTGGTATTCTTGGCAGTACACTTGAGCAATGTCCAGTGTCCACTCTTTACCAAGAAGGGAGAGAATGCTATGTTCCTCTTCCTACTGGTCATATTAAACCTAAAATCCTAGGTATTCCTGTTCCTATTTTGCAGTTGAAATTGCCACCCATGAATAATAGGGTTAGGTTGGAACCTCTTTCCTCTAGCTGTCTGGATTTAGTTTAAGGTATTTCCCCCATATTTGTGCTGCTTCTCACTTGGATTGGGACTGATGGGATGTTTGGCTCTTGTTTTGAGTCAAGTATCCTAGACTTAAGATGTTTAGGGTTTAGGTGGTATATTGGTTTGAATGTGGTTTGAGTGTCCTACAAGGCTTATTCACATGTTGAAATTAATCTGCATCATGAGATATTAAGAGGGTAGAAACTTAATCAGTCTATGATTTTAAAAGTAGGGCCTTTGGGAACTGATTAGGTTCAGAAAAAGTCTTTAGGGTAGAGCCCCGATGTGTATCCTTGTAGTTTTATAGGAAGAAAGAGAGAGAGAAATCAGACACATATACATACTGTATACTCTTGTACTCCCTGACTCTTGGCATGTGATTCTCAGTGCCACTCCAGACTTTTCCACAAAGAAGGTCAACACCAGACGAGGCCCTTTAACCTTGTGTCTCCTGAATTGTGAACCAAAATATTTCTTTTCTTATAACTTTGTCTGTGATATTATCTTATTGACAATGGAAAACAGACCAATACAGATGGGGAGATGACATTAACTAATGAAACAATTATAAAACAGTCATCTGACAGTTTTTTGAAGTGTATAATTTTTGTCTTTTCCTTTGTGGCTCTAAGTGAAGATGGGCCTGCTGGGGAGCCATTTTTGCTTTCAATATCCAATCTTTTTAATTGCAATACAGTTGAGAAAGTGATATGTAACAAGAGCAGGATAGACTTCTGTGAATGGCTGTAAGGTTGTCCCAGAGAATTAATAAATATCAATGAAGTTTAGAGGAAAGTTGTCACAGAATAGCTCATTTACAGGATAGACCATAAAATGGGTTGTTTGCAGAGATATACTAAAGTTGATTTATGCCAGCAAGCCATTGTTAAATTTTTAAGAATTTTGCAGCACAAGCCATTGCTAAATTCTCGACAATTTGATCAACCATCAGCAGCTTGAAATGGGCTGTGGTGGGAGTATTTACAGTGTGAAAATCATTAAATGCTATAAATAAAATATAAATAAAGGATTTTTCTCTCTACTCCATGCCTCAGTTGGTTTGCAAGCATCACACTAGTTTCAGAATTTGAATGTAGTTCTTTGTGTTAGAGCTAGAAGAGTGGATTTCTCTCTTTTATCTTAAACAAAACAAAACAAAACTATTATAGTCTATTCCTTCCACCTGCTGCCATCTCCCCTTTTGTAACCTTTGCCACCTGACTTTAAAAATCAAGATACTCCTCAGTGCCACATCCCATTGGCATTTTATTTTTCTCAGCTTTTCTTCTTGGATCCTTTTCAGTGTTTGATACCATGATAGCTACTTCTTTTTGAAACTCTGATTTTGACATTCTACCTCTTATGACATTTTGCTTATTGTCTTACTTGATGGGAACAGTAAACTTTTTTTATTAGGTTCTCTTAACTATTTTTATTCTCCAAGAGTCTATCTTCATCTTTGTTTTTACTTTGTTTACTCATTTTATGAACTGTCTCATCTGTGGAGAAGACACATCTCTCTTTATATTCTAGTGCCATTTCTAATTGTTGGATGTTTACATCTGATTTGTTAAACTTAATGTGTTCAGACCTGGACCTTACTTGTACTGTACTTACTCTTAAACTAGATAATATAAAATCAGCAGTTCTTCTTGACTTCCCTACTTTTATTAGGAAAATTACATTCTTTTGTTTATTATTTTCTTTAGTTTATGTATTTAGGGTAGATACATTCTTCTGATCTTCCAAAATCACAATTGTGACATTACTGTTGATTCTCCTTCGCTCCCTCCCTTGCCCCTGAATACCAAATCTCTTACCAAGTCCACTGGATTCTAAATGTATCTCTCCTTTCTAGTCACACTGTTACCTGGGAGCCACCTGGTTTAGACCCTCTTTATTTCCTCCTCTGGATTATTATAAACTCAATAACATGGCTTTTAGCATAGCTCATTTCATTAAATACTTTTATGTTTCCAAAAGGACCAGTCCTGTTTGCAGCACAGTAACGTACAGTGTGGCTTTATTATATGTCCCCCCCCCCACACACACACACACAGTGGCTTTATTATATATCTTTAACCTGACTTTAAAGCTCTTTGTAAGCAATGCAGCTCTCACCTGGCTTTTTTTTTATTATTATTTTTTTAGTAGTTAATGGACTTTATTTTATTTATATGTGATGCTGACAATCAAACCTAGTGTCTCACACATGCTAGGCAAGTGCTCTACCACTGAGCCACAATACCAGCCCTCCCACCTGGCTTTTGAGTCTTTTTCCCTGAGTACTGTACTTTAGCAAAGCTTTAGGTTTCTGAGTCCTGAAAATGGCCCTTGCTCCCCTCTCATTTTACTATGGTTTGTTTAACATTGTTTTCTCTAACCTCAAACAATTGTGATCTCCCTTCTCTAAAGGTCCTTAGTATTTTTTTAAACTTTATTTATGACACTTATATCAATGTTTCCTAGTATAGTTTTTTATTATATATTTGTTTTGTCAGCTCAGTGAGAACAAGGCTTTTGTCTTACATATATGTCTGGTAGACCTTAAATTGGCTTTAAGCTTCAATACATTTTTGTTTAATTAAGCACTTCAACTATAGTAAATTTATGCTGATACAAACATTAAGATAAAAAACTTAGGAGTTTCTTAAACATTTTGCAGCTGTGTGAACTATGTTTTTTCATCATAAGATATACAGAAAAGTTTGAATTTGAATAGGACAACACTTAGGATCATGAAATTAAATTGTACTGGGGCGAATGGGAATAGGATTCTATTTCTTGACCTTAGTTGAACCAACCCATGCCTCACTGTTGTGCCTGCTCTCCAAAATGCCAATCACGAGCCAGCAAATGCAGATTTTAGTCCTGTGACAAAAGTCCTTTAAACAAAAGATTGTAGAGTTCCAGGAGTGATCCATTTAATAAAAAGCAACACAGGATAAATATTTCAGAATTACAAGTGTTTTTGATGGAGTCTTTAAAAGCTTGAACTGTAGTATTTATAATAGCTATTCTGAAACATTATATTGGCTTAAAAATAGCCTTCACTAACTGATAGACTAAAAATTTAGTTAGACTAAAACTCTTAAGTTTTAGTCTAATCAAAACATGGTTCCATAATCCTCACTCTGATTGTGAGTTATCAAAATAAATGCATGGAGACATGATTTTATTAAAAATAACTATTCTGTTTGAGACCCAGGATTTTGCACTGTTATTTTTTTATCTAATGGATAAGTTTATTTTAGAACTAACAAAGAAATGTTACTCTGACTTGTTAAGCTATGTAAATGTAAATGTACACATGTAGCTGCTTCAGGTTTGTTTGAACGTGAAGTCATGAAAAGGTCTGACTT